TTGGCTCTTATAAGTATTTTTCAGGCCAAAAATGTCTATTTTAGCATGTGTGCAAAAAAAAAAAAAAATGGAAAAATTAGTCTGGCAAAGAAAGGGTTAAACAAGAATTTCTGTATAATAGCTATTTTCAAATAAATTTACCACATTTACCTGCATGTCATAGCCAAAGTGTTTCAGTCTCCAGTCCTCTCCTTTCCTAAGGTCAAATCCTGGCCTTCCTGCCTCATGGTCAAAGAAAAGCCAACTGTAATTTTAGAAGAATGCCATGCAAAATTGTCATCGGATATAGTCACCCTGCATCCAAAATACTTTTCCACAAGAATCTTGCATTGACCTTTTATTTTGGTTTTGCTTTTTTTATTGAACACCTTGAAATCGTGTAACCAACTGCAATTGTGATACTGTAAATTAACAATTTTTAATGATACTTTGTGAAATTTATCTCTTAAAAAGTTATAATCTAAATCTAAAACAATTATAAATTGCCCTACTTAAAATTATTTTTAGAAACTCAAAATACAAAAAGGTTCATATTAGGAAAGCTGGTCTACATGCTTTTCTGCTCTGTTAAATAATCTTGTTTATCGATTTTTTTTGGTTGATCATATTTTAATACAATTTTAACATGTATTTATATTCATAATTTATTTTTATTATATCTAGGAATATTTGCATAGTTCATGTTTATAGTTTGTAATCCAAGTAATAGCCTGCTGGCAAAAACATGCATCATTTATTTATAGTTATGCAAAACAAAACTGATGTAGTACTTAGGTATTCATTTGCATGTGAACATGAAGTCACTGAACTCCCATGCTGCACTCAATGCGCTAACCTTCTTTGGTATTTTGAAACACATTTTTAGCTTTTTTCAGCGCTCTTTTTTTTTTTTTTTAAATGGGCCTGACCTCAAAAAGAGAACATTTGCTTTGCTACCGGGACTTCCCGGTATGTGAGGGTGCCTACAGCCTCATAGCTTTATATCTGTTGTGTGAGATCTAAGGCACTGCTGCTTCAGACTGCAGATTTGGAGTGAGATGGGTTGTCGGTATTGTGCTACTGGAGGCTCAGACATTAGGATGCAAAACTCTGCCTTTACCAAGATGTCTTCTTCCCCACAGAAATACAGTGCAAAACACCACATGGTAAATCAGGAAAGGGGTAAGGTCAGCTACAGGGTGACCATAGAAAACACTGGTGATAACTCCTTTCCCTTCTCCCTGCTCTTTTTTTGGCAGAGCTTCAGCAATTTAGTTACTTAACCACTTGCCCTCCAGAGGATTTACCCCTCTTCCTGAACAGGCCATTTTTTGAGATACAGCACTGCATTACTTTAACTGACAACTACGCAGTCATGCAACGCTGCACCCAAAATAAAATTATGTCCGTTTTTACCAAAACTGGATATTTCTTTCAGTGGTATGTGATCGCCTGTGCGGTTTTTTTTTTTTTGTGCTATAAACAAAAAAACCTGACAATTTTGAGAAAAAAAAACTAATTTTTGACTTTTTGCTATTAAACATGTTCGGTAAAAAAATTTTAAAAATCAAATTTCGTCATAAACGTAGGCCAAAACGTATTCTGCTCCATGTCTTTGCTAAAGAAAAAACCCAATACGTGTAAATTAATTGGTTTACGTGAAAGTTATAGCGTCCATAAATGGTGGTATATATACTGGGATTTTTTTTTTTATACTAGTAATGGCAGCGATCAGTGACTTATAGCGGGACTGCTGCGAGCATTCTGACACTGGGTGGGAACTGACTAACTGTCATTGACATCCCCAATGACACTAAGACTGGGGATGTCAGTGTTATTAAAAAACACTGAAACCTGTACTAATGACACTGGGCAGGAAGGGGTTAACATCTGGGGTGATCAAAGGGTTAACTCTGTGCTGTGTGTTTTACTATTGTACTATAGTCAGTGATAAGCGGCGTTCGTCAGGTGCTGCTGAGGAATCACCGGCTGGGACCCGGTGATCGACAGCTGAAGCCGCCAATGGCAGAGCCGGTAGGGTGCCCCTACCCGGAAATGCAAAATCATGTATATATACGTGATTTTGCGCAGCCGTGCTGCCCTGTGGCAGTATTACTGCTATAGGGCGGGGGCAAGCAGTTAATATCTATGTTGTGGTAAAATCTCCTTTGAGAATGCTAGTTCCCTGGCTGTACTTCAGATGATTCAGCTTCACCCCTGGTTCACATATATGTGGCCGTGCGGGACGCGTTTTGCACTGGCACGAGAGCCCATTCATTTGAATGGACTCCCGTGCCCGTGACACGCAGGGAAGAAGTCCCTGCTCTTCTTTAGAAAACACAGGCTGCACAGGAACCTCGGTTCCCAGTACGGTTGCGTTTTCCAGTGCGGGTGGCATGCCATTAGAACTAATGGCACCCACTCACGGGTCCGCATTCCTCTGTGCGGGTGGTGGGGTTGCATGGATTTTAGTGCGGATCCGCAGCGACACCACCTGCACAGATGTGAACCTAGGGTCAATGCTGTTTAAGTCAGCTGACTAGGAACAAGCAGATAGATAAGAAGGCCTGATACATTTCTGAATGTCATTTGCAGCCCGCTTGTTCCAGGACTATGAAAGAAACATATGAACTCCTTCCTGCAACTGCCTCCCTGCCCTTTATCAGGATCTAAATGCAGGGATGTGGAGGCGGGCATTCCAATCATGTGACCGCTGGCAGTCACAATTGTCACATGATCGGAATGCTCCCAATCACAAGTATGCATCGGGAGCTTTCAGGTACCCGCTCATTACTGTGCTGGGAGCGTGCAGGCAGCACAGTAAAGTGTTTAGCTAGGGAAGCATATAAGCGGCTGCTCTTCGTTAAAGTACACCTGCCGAGAGGCTGCATATAGGCTCCAGGTCGGTGGAAAGTTGTTAAGTCAGACACAGCTAAGCCTCTAGCATTTTGCAGAAGCAGCCCTATACTTCTCTCATGACCATGTCTCTTTAACCACTTCAAGTCCAAACACTTTTATCCCCTTCCAGTCAAGGCCAATTTTCAGCTTTCAGTGCTGTCACACTTTGAATGACAATTGCACGGTCATGCAACACTGTACCCATATGAATTTTTTAGCATTTTTTTGAGACAGATAAAACTTTATTTTGGTGGTATTTATTCACCACTGGGATTTTTATTTTTTTGCTATATAAATGAAAAAGTCCAAACAATTTGAAAAAAGTGTTTTTCTTATAACATTTTGCAAATAAATAATATGTCTTCATAAATCTTGGCCGAAATTTATTCATTTATCTTTTTAGTAAAAAAAAAAAGCCAAATTAGTTTATAATCAAAAATTATAATTTTTCCAAAAAATGTTTTCTTACATTTTTTTTTTTTTTTTTTAATATTATTAATATTTTTTTTAACATACTGTCACCCTAGCAGTACAGTGTCACCACAGTGATACTGTACTACTTGTGGGGGGGTGATTAATTAACTTTTTTTTTTTTTACACCGCATGCTTTTACACCAATAAAGGCTGTAAAAACAATCATTTCTCCTTCTCTCTGGCTGCATCCTTGCAGCCATTGAGAAATACTGTGCGAGCTGTGATTGGTCACAGCTTGTCACATGGTATAAGGCTGTTGTGAATAGCCCTGTTTCCATGTGACCTATGTGATCATTCACAGATTTCACAGATTTTCAGTAATCAATGATGTCAGAAGTGACTTCTTGCTTACTACTATACATGTGATCCGGTAATCAGTGATCACATGATTGGGACCCCCCACACGGATGTCCCGTACAGCGATTGATGTTTCTGCTGTGTCCTCCAGACACAGCGGGAACCAGGCCGCGGTGCCACGCGCTCCCAGGGAGCGCGCACAGTCCAAAATGGCGGGCGCAGTTTATGAATGGCAACCAGCTCCTGCACTGCTCCCGTCTGGTCGTTTATATACATGGGCCGGACGGGAAGTGGTTAGTAAGTCGGTTTTGTAATTGTATATGCATAATTGTGTTCTCCATTACTGCCCTGCAGCTATGGACACAGGCTCTATTAACCGCTTGCCCATTGCCCCGTAGCAGATGTACTGCTACAGATATAGAAATAGAAAGCAGCAGGTCTCCTTAGTAAAACAGCACACAGCACACAATAACAACACTCCCTAACACACAGTTAAACCTTTGATTGCCCCAGATGTTAACCCCTTCCTACCCATGTCATTAGTACCGTGTCAGTGCTTTTTATTAGCACTGATCACTGTATTAGTGTCGCTGGAGATGTCCGTGGCAGTTAATCAGTTCCCACCCAGTGTCAGAATGCCTGCCGGAGTCCCACAGTCCCACTATAAGTCGCCAATCGCCACCATTACTAGAATAAATAAATAAAAATTACAGTATATATACTGCCATTTGTAGATGCTATATAACTTTCACGTTAACCAATTAATTTACACTTATTGGGATTTTTTTTTTTAAACAAAGACATGTAGCAGAATACATTTTGGCCTAAAGTTATGAAGAAATTGTATTTTTTATTGGATATGTTTTATAGCAAAAAGTCAAAGATATTGTTTTTCTTTCAAAGTTGTCAGTCTTTTTTTGTTTATAGCGCAAAAAATAAAACCCCAGAGGTGATCAAATACCACTGAAAGAAAGCTCTATTTGTGTGGAAAAATTACAAATTTCATTATGTACAGCGTTGCATGACCGCGCAATTGTCAGTTAAATTGATGCAGCACCGTATTCGCAAGAAATGGCCAGGTCAGGAAGGGGGGAAAATTTTCCAGTGGGCAAATGATTAATATGAAGCAAAATGTGCATTTGGATATATGCAAGGCATTTTTATCCTTATGTTATTATAGGGGTGAACAGCCAGGCTTTTTTAACATGAACCACTCCAGGTACATTATACTCCACTCCTAGTCTTTACTATATCATCTTCATATAAATCACCTGATTGTCAAATTAATTAGTTGCAAGAGCCCATTGAGAGAAGTGTTACTAAACCAACAACAGTAAAATCAGTCTGTATATGCAGTAAAGCATGCTTGTTATACTCACTGTGGACCCTAAGGGGTTAATCCTCATTGTATAAAAAGGCTGTTTGATCCTGACTTCTCTGATCCTTCCTTTCTTCCAGTGTCCCCCTCTTATCTCCTGATAAGACATATCATGTGGAGACACTCTGCACATGCTCAGTTTGGTGTGTATTGCTAGAGATTTTTTTTTTTTTGCTTGGGAGAGTGCATGTGATCAGCACAGGACCAATCAGCACTGCCCAGAGAGAGATAAGGGATTCTGCATCCTCCTAGAGCAGAAAGAAAACTCATCCTACAAGCTTTAACCAGTGCTCTGCTGAACACTGATAGAAGTCACAAGACTGCTCTAACTGCTGATGAGAAAAGGTGTTTAGCAGTTTATATTTACTAAAATAATTGCATTTCCATGTTGTATGTACTGTGGGAGATCGGATATAGTGAGGGTCCTGGGTTTAGTAACACTTTAAGGAGCAGAGTCATGGCGGTGGGTCTAAACACCTCAACGTTATATATCAATGCTTAATAAGAACTGCCTATGCCTTTCTGTGTCATTAGTTAGACCTTTCTTTGGTACTGATCAGTGAACTATTTGCACCTTCTCCCCTGCTGTTTACTTTTGGTTTCTAAAGACTACATATCCCATGGTACCTTGCTACTTACTGGCTGTCATTCCTGTACTGACTCCACCTTCTGAAACTCCTCCTTTCTTCACCTCTGTAGTTCAGTAGGCAGGTTTTGTGAATTTTTTGACACAGTAATACCTATGCACAGGGCAAAGTGAATATGTGTCACAAAATATGTGGGGAACTTCACAAAAAACAGTTTACAAATTCAAGATATTTCAGATTAATAAAAGCAGGACAGAAATACTGTAAATTATATTTAAAAATGATTATATGTGTAACGCTACCCCCACAGGGGCCACTTGATAATTGCTTGTCCCCAGTGGTTGCCCTGGCCTTGCAAGCCTCCCGTTACCTCTGACACTCTCTGGGTTCAGACATATTTAACCCCTTGGCGGCCCTTTAAGGGTTCCAGAAGCCGGGAGGCAGGGCAGGGTTTTAGGGTCATGTGACCGCCGTGATTTGCTGTCACGGCGGTCACATGATCGGGAAAGGTCCCGATCGAATGAGGCGATTGGGACCTTTCCATGAGTATCGAACTTGTGTGCTGGTAGCGCGCAGGGTGCAAATGTGCGGCCGCGCGGCGTCTAGGCCCAGACGCCGGGAGGCAGCACATTTGCGTTTGACCAGCACCAAGAGGTTAAACAGTATAGGATAATAATGCAAGAGACACAATTCTTAGTACCACTGCTATATTAGTCTTGTTCAAAAGAGTAGACCACAAGAATAATGGGTTTAAGATATACAACCTCAGTTAACACATTAAAATAGAACACTGGTAAAATAGGAATATTCAATTAGCAATGTTTAACAAATTTGTTCAGTCATGTGTAGTAAGCTTCAAATATTAAACTGCAACACCAGCAGTAAGAGGGGAACAAAAGCTTTGTTGACTTATCAGCTCCCTCTAGCTCACTGGCCTACAAGCGTTGATTTTAAATTAGTTAATTGGGGGGGGGGGGGGGTGTGGGGGGGGGGGTGGGGGGGGGGTGGGGGGGGGGTGGGGGTGGGGGGGGGGGGGCTGGGGGGGGGGTGGGTGGGTAGGGGGGAGATGGGGGTTTGGGGTGCCTGAGTTGGGTGGTGGGGGTAGTTGGTGGGTTGGTAGGGTTTGGTTGTTGAAGGGTTTTAGGTTTGTTGTGGGGCAGAGGTGGTTGTGGTGGGGGTGGGACACTATATTTGGGTTTCGTGGGGGTTTGTTAATGGTGGTTAAGGGGGGGGGGGGGGTTTTTGTGGAAGGTTTATTAGGTTGGAGTTTGTACGTTTATGATTTGGTTGGTTTATGGGGTTTAATTACCCGCACGGGGGGACAGTATTGGGTTTATGATGGTATGTAGTGTGATGTATTCACTACGGAGGGTATCAGGGAGATACCCCACTAGGCACTGTAAAATTTGCCATGTGGGGTTAGTATTAAAGTTGTGTTATATTTTTTTTTTATTGATTTTGATGTATGTGTATGTATTTATTTATTTATATATTTTAGTACCAAACCCTTGTATACACCTCTCTGGGGGTTTGGTATCATTTCCATGACCACATCTAGACTTACCTCATTATATTACTATTATACACTCTATCTTCCCTTTAAACCTCTCCATCAACCCTATATTTATTCAATCACTCATCATCCCACCCCTATTCCCAATACTTAAACACAATAATCTAACATTTCCCCATCCAAAATTCAAACATATCATATCACCATCAACTCCCTATTCTCATTACACATCAATCACATCCAAATATCACCAAACTCTTTAATTCCTTCAAACACACTCATCTTTTCTCCTCAATACGCTCCTCCTCAGAATCCAGGGTGTACACACATGATAGTCACCTATCTCCTCTCGCCAATCTTTTCTCCAACTCAAAAACCCTCTTACTCACTCGCTCTATGTGTGTCTCTCTGCAACTTTGTTTGTCTTTTGTACGTCACTTTTTACAGATTGATCTCAGAGACTCATTATGCGACATGTGAGAAGATTATGTCCTGTTTAAAAACCCCCCCTAAAAAATTTCTGTTTTTACGGGGTTTCACTCAAATTAAAAAAAAATTGAAGTTGTTCCGTGTTTTGGGGCAGGGCGGGCCCTTTGGCGGGCGGAGGGCCCGGGGGGGGCCCCCCAGAGCCCCAAATTTTAAAAAAATTTTTTTGGGGGGAAGAAAGGGCCCCCCCGATTTTTAGCCCGGGGGGCCCCCCGGGTTTATCGCCCTGGGGGGGGAACCGGGGGGGGGTAAAAGGCCAACCTTCTTTCTTCCTTTCCAACCCCAAAACCAAAAACTTTCCAATCCCACTTGCTGTTTTTTCTCCGGGGGGAAAAAAAAAAAAATTTTTTTAAAATTTAAAACATTTTAATTTTTGGGGGGATTTAACCCCCCGTTGCCCTGGGGGAAAAAGTTTTAAATAAGTAAAAATGTAAAAGGGAATGGAAGGAAAAAAAAATTTTGGAGTTTTGGCCCCAGACCGAAATGAGTTTCCCCCCCCCCAAAAATAAAGGGGGGGAGGGAGGTGAAAAGTTTTTTTTTGGGGGGGTTTTTTTTACCTTTTTGGGGGGGGGTTTTTTTATACAAAAGGTGAAACTTACCATTTTTTTTTGGCGGGGGGGCCCTTTTTTTGTATTCCCCCTTTTGGGGGGTTTTTCTTACCCACATCAGGGAAAAGGGAAGTTTTTTCAGGAAAGGAAATTCGGGTTTTAAGTGGAAAATATTTTTTTTCCAAATTTTTTTAAGGGACCAAAAGTTTCGGGGGGCCTTTTCTTGGGAACCATTACCTGAAAAAATTTTTTTCCACTGGGGCTTTAAAAAGATTCCTGTTCCCGGGAATTTGGGGTTTTTTGGGGGGTTTTGTGGGGGGAAAAAATTTTAAAAAAGGGTTTTTGGCCCAAAAGGCCTTTTTTAGGAAAACTTTTTTTAAACCCCCATTTGGGGGGGGGAAAAAAATTTTCGTCCCCGGCCAATTGGGCCCATTAGAACCCCGCCCCCCCCATCTTTGGGGGGGGGCCCCAGAACCCTGGGCCCCCCGGGGGCGCGGGGACCATGCCCCATAAAAATGGCCCCCTTTTGGCCGGTCCCCTCAATTTTGGCGTGGAAAAGGGAGGAAGGGGGCCCTACCACTTGGCCCCCCACCCCCCCAGAGGGGGGGTCGGGGCCCCGAGAAAAGGGGGGGGCAAATATCGGGGGGGAGGAGTTTCCCCGGACCAATGGGAGGGCCTCCCCCTTTTCAAATCAACCCCGGTGTCCCTTTCCAAGGGAAGGGTGGGAAAAAAAAAGCCTGGGCCTTAAAAACCCAAAATTGAGATATGCTTACTAAAAACCATTTCTCGGGGAAAGGGAAGAAAATAATCTTTGCTTTATGGAAAACCCCTTTGGGAATGATACAATAAAAACTTTTTTCCCATCACTAGGGGAGAGCGAATTTTTTAAAAAATTTGTTTCGGGGGAATTCGCCGAATTCGGGGAAAATAAATTCGATTTGAGGGGGAATTATTCGCTGCAAATTTTTTTTTAACGTGTAAAAAGGGTGTTTCTAGGCTTCAGAGACCTTTATATTAGTGCAGAACACTGTACTTTAATTTAAATGCCCTTGGAGTCTGGCTGGGGAAGGAGAAATAATACTGTCAGTCAGTGCGGTATGACATGCTGATGAGTTGAACGTCGATTCTTAGAAAATCACGCACACACTTCCACATCATGTTGGGCAGTCAACGGGGCCAAAACCAGAGTGTGGAGCCACAGTGTGGCGGTGGAACGGGCAGCAAGAAATTGGGAGGCCATACAGCACCCCTATGACAAAATGTGAACCCTACCAGCAGTGGTATCGTGAGGAGACCTGAAAGTGGCACATAGCAGAGTGTGGCGGATGGAGACAGCAGCAATGGGAGGCCGTACAGGGACCCATGACACACTCTGGGACCTTGGGCAGCAGCATGAGGCAGGACGGGTACAGGGGCCCCATGACAGATTACGGGCCTGGCAGACAGCATATGAGGTGCTGAAGTCGGGTTAGGGGCGGGCACAATGGGCAGATTTTACGGGTCTGGCAGCAGCAAGGAGGAAGGCCATACTGCACCCTATGACAAAAATGGAACCCAACCCTCAGTTGTTAGTGTGAGGAGAGTCCTTGGAAAGTGGCAACATGGCAGAGCTGTGGCGATGGAGACAGCAGCAATGGGAGGCCGTGACAGGGACCCATGACCCAACTCTTGGACCTTTGGCAGCTAGCTATGATGGAGGAGGGCGGTACAGGGGCCATGACAGACCTGATGACGGGCCTGGCAGCAGCAATGAGGAAGTCGGGCTACGGGGGCCCATGGCAGATTACGGGACTTGGGGCAGCAGCACTGGGAGGCCATTACAGCTCGCCTTATGACAAAATGGGAACACCATGCTGCAGTGTGAGGAGTCCTTTGAAAAGTGGCACCATGGCAGAGTTGTGGCGATGGAGGACAGCAAGCAGTGGTTATGGCTCGTACAGGGGACCCATGACACACTCTGGACCTGGCGAGCAGCATGAGGGGCGGTTAGGCGGTACAGAGGGCCCATGACAGATTACGGGCCCTTGGCCAGCAGCATGCCATGAGGAGTCGGCT